AAAATATAGTGCATAGAGCCAATTCTTGGTCGATTTGAAAATCAGTAGTACTAGTCTCTTTTTATGTAAATTGTAGAATTACAGCTACTAAATATATAAAAGGCATAAAAATACAAATTTGTGTCGCACCGAGATTTAATACAAAAGTATAAAACCTGTTAAATCCGATTGAAAGTGACAGGTCTCCCGCAAGACATTGTTGAATTGTGTCCAAAACCAGGTTTAATCTAGTTTTGGGCTCTCAGATTTTACTTCGGGTGCATCACACAGACAAAGAATTCTGCCGTTTAATTCTTTAACGGCTGTAACTTCTTTAATTGGTGCAATACAGTCAAAACTCCCTAAATCCATACCCTGGGGTGGTGTCTAGGACCAAACTTATGTTAAGTTTGCTCTAGGACCGTGAATTGTATAGCTCTTTTGAAAACGCCCTGGAGAACCTTGAAGGCTTTTGAAACCTCCATGTAAGCCATGATAATTATGGATTTAGAGGGTAATGCCCACTCAAGCAGACCGAATTTTTAGACCTTGATGGGCAGGTTGGGGCAAAAGTATGGCTTTAGCAGTGATAGAGACATTTTTTCTGACATTTTGATATGGATCAACAGGAGAGGAGATTTAAGTACACCTGTTTCACAAAAGATTGACAACCTTTTTTGGAGAGAGGTGTCTCTGCAGCGGGTAAAACCAGAACAAAAACTTGATTGCAGATTTATTCTTTTCTGTATTCTTCCAATGGGAATCTGTTTTGGGTTCGGTGGCAAGCGGGACGGTATGCTACACATGGAGGTCCGGAGACCTGGATTGCAAAAGTGTGCCCTGGGATGCGGGGCGCTGGAAAAGAGATAACGCTGGCAGGAGTACATGGGGGTGGCCTAACTAGGCGCTGAGCTCCTCCACTGGAGTGCTCCCCACTCCGAGAGATAGGAATGACCACAATACAAGTTGGATGACCCGATTTACTAAAAAGAAAAATAACGAAGAAAGCCACTTGAAACTTAACCCAGGTTGTCCTAAGGGTGGTGGGCGGGAAAAAAAAATAACAACTAATTATGACGAGATTATTAATGAAATAGGCGCTAAAATTGAATTGTTTAGCTCAGAAGGTAGAAAAAGGATGTCGATATTGGGAATAATGTAGATGTAATTTTCCTAACAATCTGGAGAACGGGAGAAATGGGCACATCAGACTACAAGGTACCCAATCTGGAGTGAAGGAACGACTGAGGTCCATTGGGGGAACCTGTCGATTTGCCATTTTGTTGCACATCTTCTTAGAGTAGCAAACCTTTCCTGTCGTCTTTGCCAAGTTTCCCTCCCCCTTTTGCAGATTCCACTATGTTAATACACGTACCAACTTTGAGGAATCTGTTTTGGGTTCGGTGGCAAGCGGGACGGTATGCTACACATGGAGGTCCGGAGACCTGGATTGCAAAAGTGTGCCCTGGGATGCGGGGCGCTGGAAAAGAGATAACGCTGGCAGGAGTACGACCGCCCTTGTAGTGATAGAGAGTTGGTGATGGTAGTAAGAAGAGATCTTGATGTACGGCGGTTGATGCCGAGGTTGTACGACTCCTGGAACGTGCGAATAAGCATGCCTGCGAAATTCAAATTTGTGTTAGCCTTTGTGTAATGTGCGGATAACCCACTGGGCTTAGCGTACTAGCACAAAGGTTCTCTTGAGTAAGAGATTTCCCCGACTTCGTCAGAACGGGTAGACGACGTTCATGAAGGAGACGAAGTCGTCAGCGGACGGCTCGAGCTGTGGGAAGCTGGGAGCTTACCTCCAAAGTGGCGTGAGCCTCGGTTGGGGTGCTGACCAACGCGGTGAACCGTGTTGATGTGTAAAGCATCTGCGAGAGATGTTTTGTTAGCCTTTGCAGCGAAGTCCCGGAGGGACGAATCACTTACTCGTGCTGATCGCCGAGGGGACTGGAGCAATTGTCTGGAAATGAGGTCTGCGACTTCTATACATTGGCTGTATAAGAGAGAGAACAGGACCAAATTGAGCCAAAGATGTAACAACACCGGTGGTGAATGTAGGAGCCACGTACAGGAGCTTTTGCTGGAAATTGGACTTGCTCTCCTAATGTGAGTCCGACCTGCGGCATGTTGTCGACCTGGCTTTTCATGTTTAGGATAGGGTGGTTTCTGACGTAGAGTGACCATGCGTTTGAAGACCATCGTCCTATTTGTTGGATTTTGCTTGCGCACAGGCCTGCCTGGGCTAGCGCCGTCCCTCCGCCGGCACGTAGGGAGTGGCCAGTGCGGTTGTTGCCAAAGATTGATTGCAGCCAATCCATGAACCATGAACGAGTTGGTGATTGGCCATTTTCCCTTAGCAGCAGGAGTAGATGGGCTGGGAATTTTTCGTCTTGCAGGTTGATGTACCGGGCGAGGGTTCTCACCGGGCATAGATGGCTGTGTGGTCGCTTGATGATCACTACCGGGGTGCCTTTGTACAGCTTGTCTGCTTTGTGATACGGAAGATGGTAGGATGCGGCCAAGCCGCAGAGGGAGATGAGCACAGATGACCGTTTGATGATTTTCCTTTCGTTGCAAAAGTCGATGGTATTGGGTGAGACGAGTTCTCCTAGCCGGTGGAGGGCGGCAAACCCTAACACTAAGATGGGGTTAAACAACAAGTCGTCGAAGGTTGAGTTTGCTGAATTGGAGGCAATTTCCAAATCGAGGATGGTGAAGGCTGGTGCTTGTTTGATTCCTGATGAGAACTGCTTTTCACAGCCAGTGATGGATTCTTTCACTCGGTCTGACAGTCTCGCTTGCAGGACGTGTGGGAATTTGGGTTTGAAGTGGTTGACTATGCCGGTGAGGTAAGTTTTTATTGTTGAGGGTTGGACTTCTCGCCCAATGACTGAGACGAAGTGGGCGAGGTTGACTTCAGACGGGTCTACGGGATGGTGTTGGCTTTCGCAGAATGCAATGAATCTTTGGGCACCACAGGCATACTTAGCTTTAGACGATGGTTCTAAGCACATGTTCCTGTCGGACGCGTTAAGTTTCTCTTTCTCTTCGAATGATAGTAATTGAGTTTTGAAGGATTTCGGCGGCATAGTGAAAAAGAGTCGATCAAGGGAAAGTGAAATGTTTTTTGACTTTTTTGAATTTTTATTAGAGAGAAAGATAGAAACAGAATGTCAAAAGAGTATTTTGAGCGCCTGATCCCGCCTTCCAGGAATTTAGGGATGGCTGGGAGGGTGATATGCACTCTTGAAGGGGGGGCGCCGTCAGCTGAGATGATCTTCTGTCTTGACAGGGCGTCCGCAATCACGTTTCGGTCACCCGCGACGTGTCTTACCACTACATTAAGGGACCGTTCCAACATTCTGTTTACCGCGTGCCTAAACAGGACTCTGGTTAAGTCGGTTGGTGCATGTGATCCAAAGAGGTAACACACTGACTGGTTGTCGGTGAAGATCAGGATTTTTTGGGCGTTGGTTGCAACCGCTAGGTCGATAGCCGTGACTACCGCGAACAATTCGGCCCAGTAGTTGTCTCTGGCTGGGGCGGGAAATGACAGGTTCCATGTCTGGTTTGTTCGAGGATTCCATATGCCCATGCCCGTAGGGCAGGCATCACAGAAGAAGATTGTTTCTGCCAAGCTGAGATGCCAATGGAAAGACTCCATGATGCGACGGCCGTTCCAGGACTCCAGTGTGTCCGCTAACCAGGTGAGGTCTTCTTTCGTTGACTTGTTGAGAGGGACGTGAGCGTTCCGCATGTTTTTACCGGCGATTTTGTCCCAGGAGGATTGCAATGCCCAGCGGCCTAGGGGAAAGGCGTTTAAAGCCCAGTTCGCCCACCCGGTGAGGCGTTGCCACTCGACTAGTGGTTGGGAAACGGAACAAGTGAAGGAACGGAGTTGAGAAACCAACACAAGGCGTTTTTCTTCTGTCAAAGAGATCGTCATAGTGTCGGAATCAATGAGGTGGCCTATCACTTCTAATTTGCTTCCCCAAATCTGTTTCTCCCAGGCCCATGGGATTCCCAAGTAGTCGAACAGGGAGAGGAACTTGGCTTGGTTCAGTGGAATTACGTGGGCTTTGAACAATACCATATCCTCAGCGTATTTGGCTCCCCAGGAGTCATCCATGTAGGCATTGAGCCCTGTGATGCCTAACTGATAATGAGCTATCCATAAGATGAGTGAGAAAAAGCTACACCAAATCTTGGGAGAGCTTGCACAGCCGAAGTTGACGCATCTGTCGATATGGTACATTCTCTCCACGAAGATGGCTTGGCGCAATTGCCATTGAAGGTGTACTCCCAAGATTCGGCAGGCGGAATCCACGTCCGACTTCCATATGATCAGGCGTCTAGTTTGATGGATGCCTTTCCTGGTCCATAAGTATCTTGAATTTTGTACTGAAGCGCTGGATGGTGGGTGTTGAAGGTGGAGCAGAGAAGGGATGAATGAAGAAATGGAATCGAGTTTGATTCTGATTTGATTGCGGTCAATGAGGTCATTGGGAGCCAGGCTGCCGAAGCTCATGTTCGTGCACATTAGAGTCTTCCCAGAGTGTTTATTTGTAGCTAAGCAGAGAGGAGCCGTTTTCATTCCATGGAAAGGTGAGTGAAAGCCTTCCGAGAATCTTTCCAGGAGCACCTCCTTGTCTCGAGTTTTTCGGATGATGGCCAAACCCTCTTCTGTCGAGACGTGGTTTGCGTGCAACGTCGTATTGTTGGAAGGGAGGGACGACATGGGCTAAAACCCGTTGGTGATGCCTGAGAGAATGGATTGGACAAATTTTGGATTGGGGTGGTTTTTGGTCATTAAGCCTATGCGGCAGCTTTTGATAGGGCACACAATCTTAAATATATGGGGATTCTTTTTGATGGCGAAGGCTGCAAACGGGTCCGATGCTAAAGGAGGTGGGGGTGGAAGAGGCTCCGCGTCGACGGAGAAATTGACGGAAGGTGAGTAGTGTACCATGTCTTCCTCGATTTCCAACCCTCTAAGGAATTTTCTGGCATTGGGCTTATGCGTGTGCGATGCGTCCTCGATGATCGGCATCGCATCCCACTTTGTTGCATAAGTTATGTCGTCTGCTGCATTCATCGTCTGACTTTTTGCACATACTAGTGTTCCAGTTATTACAAGGAGTGTCGCTGAGCCTCCAAGAGGCAGAATCCTTGATCTCGTACGGGAAGTCGATCCTGGATTTGGTTTTCTTTGGTGCCGGTTTTGGTTTTGGTTTCTGGTATGAGGTGGTGGACGTTTTAGATGTGGAAGATTTGGTGTGTAAAGGTTGGTCTTTGATGACTTCCGCGCCATTGCCCAACCGGCTGAATCTGCCGTAAAGAATTTTGCTCTCCAAGTATTTGAGTTTTGGGTTGGAAAAATCGCCAAATGGAATGTTGGTCTGACGAGAGAATTGAAGGCGTAACGCCGAATCAAAGTCTCGAACGTCTTTCCAATGGATTCCCGTTGATGGGTCGCTAACAAACTCGATGATGTATTTGAAGTAATCCTTAATCTTATGGAGTGCAGGTGCAAAGGCAGTGCAATAAGCGTTGTCCAAGATGTCGATAAGGTGTAACCAATGGGTTTTGTCTTGTATTGGAACCCCCTTAATCTTCTCGTCGAATTCGAGGTCTTTCGACTCGTTGATCTTGATTGTTTTGATTGCACCGGGTTTCCCGTAGAGTTCTGCATAAACTTTTTCCAGATCCACATATTTGTACTCCAACAGGTCTCTTGACTGAGATGAAGGCCACTGATTGGGTTTTGCTGAACATGCTTCAAATAAGTCGGCGGCACGTTTAATATCTTCTTTGTATTCGGCTTTGATCCTTTTGATTTCTCTAACGAGGGGATCCGTGTGTTGATCGTGTTCTGAAGATTCGACTGTCTGAAAAGCCAACTTTTTGGGCGCCTTGTTGGCAGATGCCACAAACTTTTTGAACACTTTCTCGACATTTGACGTTGAACCGTGTTCTGGCGAGGAGGAGACACGGTGTCGTTTCCCTTTGTCAACAATGGGCATCCTGTCCGTATTGATTCTGTTGAAGATAGACGAATCGATGCGGTTGAGGAGAGGAGGCTCTCGAGGCCTTTCTGGGGAGTTGTCAAAACGTGTTCTACGATTATCGAATCCTTGTGAAGTGTCACGTTGTCTCGGGGACGCAACGTTTTCGTAGTTGGAATGTCTTGGTTGATCCTCTGCCCTTTGGCGTCTAGGAGGAGTAGGAGAGAATCGACGCCTGTCTGGACTCTTGGAACGCCGGCGAGATCTTCCGGGGCTTCTAGATCGACGCCGAGATCTTTCTGGAGAGCGTCTAGATGGTTGGTGGCGAGGAACAGAGTCGAATCTACGCCTGGTAGGGCTCCTTGATTTTCTACGTCGGGATGGACTGCCTCGACGAGATTGGCGACGTGGACTCCTAGAACGTTCTGTACCCTTCCTATGAAGAGAGGAAGGGCCTGGGTCTGCAGCATGTCTCGCTGCGGAGCTAGCCTTCGATATATCCGCGAGGAGGTGGTCATCAACTGAGAAGATGAATGAACCCTCCGCTGGACGTCTGAAAGGACAAGCCGGCATGAGAACCGCTGGATCGGATTGGAAAAGGGCCTTCATAGACTTGGGCCACACGTAGTTACTTCCAACCATTTTGTGAATAGGCCGGCCCGCTCTCGTATTGAGCTCGATTGCTGCTCTAGCGAAAACTGAGAAGTTGTAGATAAACTCCTCCACGTCATCCTCTCTAGGAGGGGAGACCTCAGCGTAGAGACCTCACAAGACACGCATAGAAATGACTCTGCTGCTGCCAGCTTTGTCATAGTTGTACAGAATCTCTTTGACCCTTTCGAATGAATGAGTCAAATTATTGACTTGGTCAATTTCTTGATGAGACAGTTCTTTATCATTTTGCATGGCTTTACAAAGAAAAAAGAAAAAATAACAACTAATTATGACGAGACCATTAATGAAATAGGCGCTAAAATTGAATTGTTTAGCTCAGAAGGTAGAAAAAGGATGTCGATATTGGGAATAATGTAGATGTAATTTTCCTAACAATCTGGAGAACGGGAGAAATGGGCACATCAGACTACAAGGTACCCAATCTGGAGTGAAGGAACGACTGAGGTCCATTGGGGGAACCTGTTGATTTGCCATTTTGTTGCACATCTTCTTAGAGTAGCAAACCTTTCCTGTTGTCTTTGCCAAGTTTCCCTCCCCCTTTCGCAGATTCCACTATGTTAATACACGTACCAACTTCGAAGCCAAGAGACAAAACCAAATGAGGAACCAAACCCGGGTTTTGCACGTCACCAAGATTTTCAAAAAAAAACAATCTTGGTTGAAATGGCTGTCATCCAAGTTTTACCCTGTGCCACAAATGTGGAAGCCATACCCTATGGCTTTGGGGTGTTTAAGAATTTAGTGAGTTATGTGTTTAGAGGGTTTTGACTGCATGCAATTCACCAACTTTGCACTTCAAAAAAAGGATTTTACTAAAGCCACCCCCCTGTGGGGCTTGACTGCCCCCTTTTTGCTGGGGAAAAGAAAAATATAAGTGTACATTATAAACGTGGGATGGGAAGGGGGTGTGGAACCATCTGAAATTTGGGTGAATTGAAACCAAAATGAAAACTGGTATCTGGTCCCATATACATAGATGCATGATCATTCTGGTTCACAATGTCTTGGAAATTGTATGCTGGTTCCTAGGCCTAAAAGGTGATTCACCAGCTACAAATGGACATGATCCCAATAGCTGTAGTCTTGCAGGCTACATACATTTAGATTGTGGAGAAATGGGAAGTTTGATAGGGTGAAATGAAACTATGTAAACAAAACAAAACATGGCCTAAATTGTGAGGAGTTTGAACAACTTGAGATTGAGACATGAGTGGAAGAACCTTTCTGTCTTATTTCCTTCCTCAAAGCTGAGATATCAGTGTTAACACTCAGGTACAATTGATCCATAACCTTCTGGTTTGATTGTTTCAAACCCTAGAGTCTAGATCAACAGCATGGCAATTGCAATGGCCAGGCTCCACTCAGACAGTTACTAATTTGAGGGTCCAAATTGTTTCAAAAAGCTCTGGTTGTTTTTAAAACAGTGCCATGCCATGAGCCTTGTGGTCTCCACCTACCAGCAGGAGGATGAAGTTTGAGTTTTGGGTGATCATTGCAAGAATATTGCAGTGGAGGTTTGTTGAGGTTTTTCTCTCACTCCAATCTGTGTTTCCTGGCTAATTTAGAGGATACAGATTCCAGGAGGTGCTGTTTTTGAGGCTGCCCCCTGTATCTCTTAAAATCTTGCAATCCACCATGTTGGTATCCTTGTAGCACGTTGAGATGCACACATGGAGAGTTTTGAAGACAATCAGAAAATCCTTTGGTAGGCTTTAGACTGAGATTGGTGTTTAGTACCCTTTGTGAATGATCATTTGACTAAAGGATTTGTAGGATCCTTTGTCAGTAGTTGGGGTTCTCTGTGTCAACATCCCAGTTTACAAAGGGAAGACGTGCCTATTCATTATGTCTGTGTAGGATTTGCTCATCAATGAGCCCACACCAACTCCCTTCAAGGCAGAAAGGGAAGTCGTGCACACTCATTGACAAGCAAACAGTACCCGGACATGCACTGCCAGCATAGATGCCTTGGGTTGAGAAATCCAAGGCATCATCGGAGGCAAATCCTTGGACAGACCTTGTCCAAGGTTTTTGCCCTGAGAATTACCTTGGATCAAAACCTTGGGAAGCTTCTGTCCCAGGTTTTGCATCCGAGGATACCTCAGATTACAAAATCCAAGGTAAATATGTTGGTGGTGATGGTGATTGTGGAGACCTCTTTAGAGGATCTTTCAAGTATGTATTAAAAGTCTTTGGTGTGTGCATGTAAATGTGCTACAAGGATACAGACATGGTGATCAGCTTGCTAGACCCCCCCTACATGGAATAGGCAACATTCTCAATCAATATACAGCATAACGGGGACGGTCAAGCCTCACATGGGGGGGCTGGTTTTAATAAAATCCTAACCAAATGGACTCTGTTAGCCTAACATGATATGTAGTTGCCAAGCTTTGAGTCCCTAATGTTTGCCGCAGACCCTGCATTAATACATACATAAAACTAAATTTGTATATGCCCAATCATATCCAAATTATAGAATTTTCTCACCCGTCCAAGCTGTTTCCAAATGGGTCAACCCACCATTGACAATCATCTACAGTTTGCCAAGCACAAAGATGAACTTGTTTGCAATCTTCCACTTGGAATCCTTAAAATACCATAGGAAGCTTAGTGCAAAAGAATTAATAGATGGCCATGCTTGAGCAGTGAGGTGGCTGTAACCAAAATGAGGAAAATCATTCAGCATCTGCAGGATATAAAGTACAATCCGGGCATGTGTGGCCTTGTGCCCAGATTTTTTTGACTGTAGATTTGGATTTTCTGGGCAAAAGTCCAGGCCTGGGATTGAAATTTACTACCAAAAAAATTCTGGGCACAAGGCTTCTACTTTGTATCTGGTAATTGACTTATCACCTTTTAGCATCTTGAATTCCTCAACTGTCTTGGCTCTGCAAATTGTTCCACCACTCAGTAAAACAAAGTGACCCCACTCCCTCAACATCCCTACATGTATACCCCATTATCCTGCATTTACACCTACCAGCCCATATCAGCTGGTACCCAGCCCTCAACCCATCTCATAAAAAGTGACTGGCATCCCAACAGGCCTTATGTGTCCCTGCCATAACTGCCAGACCTGATCAACACACTTGAACTTTTATTGCAGGCGTGAAAACAGAAGTAGCCATCTACTCAACATGACATCAATATTCTGACCAAAGTGACCATTCTGGTGCAAGCTCAACCATGGTTATATACACTGCAAATATAATGTGTTTCTCCACGGTGAAAAATGATTACATTTAATTCAAAAAATGATTGAAAGTGCATTAAATCTACATTAAATCTGCATTTTTCTGCATTAAATCTGCATTATTAATTATTTTGTGCATTAAGTGCAATCATTTTTCACTGTGGAGAAACACATTATATTTGCAGTGATATGACCTTGTTTTCATGAAAAGTTTGAGGAAGACATCAAATATATCAGCAGTCAGTTCAACTTAGCAAACAGCTTCTCAGTTTCACAAAACAACAGAGCAATGGACTTAAGCATGATGCTCAAACAACCCAATGTTCCAATGACACCTGCCCCCAGCCAGGTGCAAGGAAGCTTTCTGTGTCACAGTTTGAATGGTACTCCTGCCATTGTCCACTCAGGGTGAATAAAAAAATGATGGGGTCTCCTTGTATGCAAAGAGGCAAGTTGTATTATTCCTCCTCAAGCATATCTCAATACCCTTTCTGACCAGATTGCATTTATTTTACTTATTCCATCATCCTCCAGAATTTTTGATACTCAAAAACAATACAATCCCATGATTGAGACACAAGCACAACAAAGGTAACCAGGCAAACAGCCCCTGGGGCTATGCCAGGAATTCCCAGCGCCAAATTACAATAGCCCACAGTATGATTGCAAGAACCCCTCTTCCCCAACCTGCTAAGAAATTTGCTCAAATGTTTTCCTCAGAAGATCTGTTGAGATTCCATAGTCTCCTGATCCATCAACAAGCTGATGATTGTAAGCAAGCAGAAGATTACCAGAACACCAAACACATGGTCACTTTGGTAATTTGGCCAGGATCTTTTGTGAGGTACCACATCTTTGACTTCATATCTTCAAACTGTTACTTCAGTCCTCCTCAAATGCGGTAAAAAGGACAACCACTTTGGATGTTGGGATGGATATGAACTGGCCAACCTTTGTGTGAGTAGTACTCATCTGTCTGCTGAGATTAAGCGTTGAAATGGTGCGTGTGGTCTTCATGTGGTACACTCAATTAAAGACTGCATCTAGTTGACCTCTAAGAAGGGTGTTTGAGAAAGGCAAGGGAAGATTAAGGGTGATAAGCAGCTATTATGCTCAAGCTTTGTGGGACTTCCAGGGGCAGGATTTGCACTTTGGTAAACCATAGATACTGAGGCTACTTTAGACTCTGTAATACAACAGAAGCTTGGCTGTTTTGAGATTTATTTGTAGAGACAATGATGGCCCTGGATGTAAGGTCTTGGATGACCTTCACTAAAAGGTCTGACTTCTGTCTGATATGACTTCTCTCAAGCAGCACTACCTTGGAACTTTGGTGTATACTTTGAAGATCTAACTCCAAAAAGTCCCAGATGAGGCTCTTGAAAGAGTCAGCAAAACGGCAACAACAAATAAGAAAGAAATCCCCAAAGGGAACAATAAGAACAGATACAAACTCAACTAACTCTAAACAGTCCCAGATGAGACTCTCAAAATAGTGACGACTGTTCAGAGTTCAGCAAGGAAAGATGAAATGTATACAAGAATTGTCTAAACCCATAGTGTAACCCCTAATGCCATGATGTGCTGTGTACTCCTTACACTGGACTCATGGAGATCAGCACATTGGGTGTTCAGCCTTACAACCATTAATAATGCTCAACAATGGTCTGTGTGAGGGGTCAGCTAATTTCAGGCTGACTCTTCAATAAACAAAGGTGAAGTGCGGGTAGTGTAATTTGATACACTGTCTTCACTTGGTACACCCAAGTGAAGACTTCAGTCAGTTGACCTCTAAAGAGAGGATTTAATGCCAGCGGGATGACTGAGCTGTCCTTCTAAGGATCTGGCTTGGAGCTCTGGTTGATCTTACAACTCGGGAGCCTGCAGTATGTTATACTCTGAAGATTCAGAGATGCCAGGGGGGATTTGGACTCTTCAACAAGGTGCCCTTTGAAAATTACCAGCTTGTTTGGTTAGCTATTAAATCCACCAGCTCAGAACACCACTTAAGGTTTTACAATCACCTGAACAAATAAAGAAAGGAACTATGATAATCAAAGTACAACAATATCACTTTACTCAATATTCTTGGTGAAGAACCAAGTAAGTTGTGATGATGAATTGTGTGACGATAATGAGCTGGTTCTTCTAGGGTGAGAAGAAGGGGAGTTCATATATTCCAGACCTAGGCATCAAATTGTGGTTGGCGCTTAGGTTTTCTTTTCTCCGAGTTAGGTTTGGGTTAGGTTTACTATTACTATTCACGACATAGTATGTCTTTGTACTTAAGTGACTCTTGATACTGAGCCATGAGGTGTATTCTTATGGTTTTAGACAGCTACATATATTTACATGTGTTTTTGCTGGCCCACAATCATGTACACAGGGCTCAGGGCTGGCACTACAGTCTTTATCAAGCTACACAACTAACCACATACTCAAAGATCTTCTCAGTGGGAGTCCAGTAAAACATGGCTCTGTGTTGTGATTGTATGAAAAGATGGGGGATGATTCAAGGGAAGAATGGGGGTATATATATTCACAGGTCAAGCCTCAACTTGTGTTTGGTGTGTCAGTGAGGCTTGTCTAACAATGTGTCAACTTTTGGTTGACACTTGGGTTAGATTTATTATGTATCTAACACATTACATACATGTGCTTAAGTGGCTCTTGACACTGACCCTCCAGATGTAGCTTATGTTATTTTACTATATTTTCATGTTACATATGTCAATGTTAGCCCGTGGTCCTGTAATCAGGGCTCAGGGCAGGCATTTTGCATTATCAGGCTCACAAGACATACACTACCCAGTTGAGCAACACCTTGGCAAGGAATGGGAAGGCAACTTGCAATTTTGGAACAAAGAAGAGAAGCTCTGTTTAAGTCTTCCTTTGGCCAACAAAGTTAGACTGTTAATTGACTTTGTTCAACTTCATATGTAGCTTTACCTACATATGCAAGCATCAGAACAATACCATGAACAGTGCCACAAGTGACTAGTTGTATTCCCAAATATCAATCCCTACCTCTGCAGAGATGTTGATCAACACTTAGTCATGGTTTCAAAATCTAGTAACAAGGACTGCATGTCCTTGTCTGTGTTCCTTACCCACTGTAATACAGTCAAATCTCTGAAATCTGGTGGGCTTGGTGGACGCCTTTTGGACCGGATAGCAGAGGTTATCGGATTTTAGAGTCAAACTCCCTGCTAAAAACCCAACTTGGTGGACCAAAATTTGACCGCATATCAGAGGTTATTGGATTTTCAAGGACCGGATTGCAGAGGTTTGACTGTAGTAATTCTGCCTCCAGCAAAAGCAAAAGCCATATGTATCATCCTTGATTCAATTTCCCCAGATATGCCTGAGCCAATGGAAAAATCATCAAAACCATTGACACAAGCATCAGAAAACCTAATTTGTGAACCTGTGTCACTGTAAGGGGTTCCGCTCCACAGAACCTCCATTGTATTAACAAGAAACATAGATTCCTCATTTACACCTTACAAATAAAAACATGAATACATAAAAAGGAAGAAAACATATTTGAAGAAATAAAAACTACCTATACACCTTTCTCACTTCAGTCTCAAGATTGTAAGACTAACATAACAGACACATTTGAATTAAGAACCAGAGACCCTTTTCAATTAATAATGTAGTTACCATCCCCATCATAACTAGCCAAGGTATGACAAGGTATAAATCCCGAACCAGTAGACTGAATTCAATACAATAAACTACCATCAACACAGCCACAATACTGTACTGCTATTGGTCCAGTACCGTATTGTTCCTGTTTTACCTGGTACCATACCTGAAAGTACAGTATACTCTTAGTTGATGGGTTTCATTGAAGCAAATCCAAAGGTTGATTAAGTACATAGAGGTGTCTTTGATGTTTTCCATAGTATGGGAGAACTTAGCTTAACACAAGCCCTCTCCGTGTGGCCATGTCTGTGCACCTTACAGAGGGCTCTGGAACTCCAACCTTTTTTTGATGTTTCCCGCTTATCTTGCTGATAAATACCACTTCACCTTGCAGGAAACTATGTCCAGGAATGGTTTCTACATGTCTTTGGCTATTGATCAACCAGGAAAGAATGCTCTGTCATTCTGTTTGCAAGACAAGTATCCAGGCTTTATGTCTCACTTGTAAAGGGGTGTACAGGCTGTATTTGCACTGCACGCAACTTAAGAAATTAAGAGACAGTACAGGCAGGTATTGTAAAGAAATCTACTTGGTTGGTTACACCACTCAGAGTGCCAACAACATGAGACCACAAGTATGTGTAGAAACTTATGCTGCACATCTTTGCCTGCACCTGGTGTTTATCAGCACGGAAAGCAGGAAAAAGCAAAAAACAACTCAAGCAGACTTAAGGTTTGAAGTCTCCATGCCAGAACTGGATAATTATTTGCAAGCCCCTCTGTGAGGTGTGCGGACGTGGCCGCACAGAGAGGGCTTGTGTTAAGCTAAGGGATAGCAAACACTGAAGTAGGGCTGTGACCTGACCCCCGCCCCGGCCCGCCAACTCTGCCCAACACTTTCTTGGGAAAAGGCAGTCTGTGGCCCGCGGCACTCAAATAAGCTAAAAGTGCTCTCAGAAAGCCCTGTGGGTGCTCTGGCTGCCCCAACTGCCTGGCTGCCTGTGTGTTTTCCGGATAAAGAAAAAAATGGTGTCTATTTTGGTTTTTATATCTCTCTTGACAATCTAAGTAGGTACACACAGGTTGGACAAGAAAATAACACTTAATCCTGCAACACCTGTCAAAATTTTCCCTTTCTGCCCCCGTTTTTATAAGAGTATGAGCTTTGGAAGAACACGAGAGTTCTTTAGTAAGTGCTAAAAGAACACGAGTGATGTGGAAAAGCAAAGTACCTAGTGGTACAAGAAAACACAGATAAGAATGAATTGCTTTAACACACAACACTACATAAAAGAACAAACCTTTGGAAGAACACAAGGGTTCTTTAGTAAGTGCTAAAAGAACACAAGCAATGTGGAAAAGCAAAGTACCTAGTGGTACGAGAAAACACAGATAAGAATGAATGAGAAAAAGGGAACAATAGTTGAGGAAACATTCAATCTTATATATAAAAGGAGATCTTGTAGAACCAAGGTACATGAATAGATAGAGAAGGAGAAGACATAATGATGTCAGAGAAGAAATGAAATAGATGAAGTTGACATCATATAGATATCAACTATGACGGAATAGAAATGAAGTTCTAGACTTGTTAATTATCTCAATAGTTTTTGCACCCTTAATTGATTCAAGGTGTGCCCTGATTGGCCCTAAGTGATTTCTGGATCTCTACTCAGGATGGGGGCGCAAAAAAAATAACTCAGCGCAGGGCGCGCCTAATCATCTCGGAAACAAGGTGGGCGCGCCCAAAGGCCTGTATGCCTCATAGTGAGAAAGTGGGGCTTTCCACATGTTTATTTTCTTATAAAATCCATTTCAAGTTGTTTTATGAATCAACTTCAATTAACAATTGACCTTCAAACAATTCATGTTCTACCTTATCAGCAACAAATATGTACATAAGGTTGGTTAAAATGCATTTCCTGGATTTTTTTCACATTTTTTTCATGATTTTTCATTTTTGCACGGTGAAAGGCCGCACCTGTTTTTCACAAAACGCGCCAGGGCGCGCCTTTTGTTTTAAGGCTGCGCCCCCATCCTGAATCTCTGCGGGTCTACTCAACGCCGGGCAGTACCCCGGGGCCACCCCGTCACACTCATGTCCGGGTCACACCCCTACACTGAAGTGCCATTGAACCGATCTTTCAATTTCCTTGCAAAGAAAAGTATGTAGCCAAGGTCCACACAGGTCCACACTCTTCAATCTACATCTCCCCATATTGTGCACTACCTCACAATCTTCAAGACAAATAAAACTTCCTTTTCTGATCCAATCAATCACAACAAAGCACAAATGTATGTATCAAAAAAGTCGCACATATACAATGCAATAAGATTTGGTCTGACTAGGAAGCACTCAATCAAAAAAAACACTAACAAATACATAAGAGACAAGTATTTGAATTTAAGGATGAGAAAATCTTCGTAAATTGCATTTCGTACTGGCACCAATATTGGACTCATCATTCCAGTATAAGATCGTTAAGAAAAAAAAACTGAGAGAGAAAGAACATAAACCATGATGAGGAGAAGAATAAAAAGTGATGAACTGATGTAAGCAAGATTTCTATTGTTTAAACACTTGTTGTGCTATCAATTTCGATTGTTGGGACCACAGATGAGATAAACTTCAAGAAAACGAGCAGATATCTATTGAGGTTTTTTCATAGAGGATAAAATGTATACGGTTCAATGATTTGTATCACAAAGACGAGGCAGGAGAATTTGAACTTACTGATCAACTCTCAAACCCTCAACTTCAGTCTCCTGGCCATCTGCATGAGAAGCAGCTGTAGGACTTCCACCCTTCTTTTCCTTTTCTTTCTCTTTATCCTTCACTACACCTGTAGCTTTCTTTACTACTCCACCAATCCATCCTTTTTTCTTTCCACTACTACCAACATTACCACCAGCTGCTTTCTGTTGAGCTTCTTTGAAACTTCCATCCATACGTTCAATGACCTTTTTCATCACACTAGCATGTTTACAAGGATGGACTGAGGCAAGGTTGAGACCATTGAGATGAGGGAAAGGTTCGATCGTTACTGTCTTCTGAGCGTAATCAGAGGAAATGTCGGAGAAGGTTTGAGTGGGTGTTAACGGATTCTTGTGTTCATCGTATCCCATCAACCACATCCTGGGAGTTTGATAGTACCTATAAGGATGATTCACTATGTTAGAGTCCAGTAGCAATATCGGACATTGCAAACTTTTGACACTGGAAAGGCGGGTGATCGAGAATTAGAGTCAAAGTAAAAGGCTCACTTGTCATACGTGATAAGACAATCGTAGGTACGAACGATCACCAGATTACTAGGATTAGTCTGACCAACTTCAATTTTAGATCCGGAGGCAGGGTCGGCAGCTGCTTGAGTTGCTGTCGCATCATCAGCTTCCTCAATAACCCCACCGCCACCTTCAAGTTCATCATCCATGTCTGGAATATCATCCATATTCGGAATAGCTTCTTCACCATCTGGCATCGATGGAGCGTTGATATCAGAAGAAAGTGAGAGGGATGCTACATTAGGTTCTACATCTGGAATATCTCCGATATCTGTTTTAGCAGATTGTGCAGCTGCAACGACGAAAGGATAGACCAAAACAACATATAATCAGGGTTCAGCAAAGTAATTTGCGAGAGGAATGCAAGTGACTCACTTCGAGCAGTGTGAGTCACAGCCCAATCTTCATCATCGCCTGTCTTCACGGCTCCTTCGGCCGCAAAACTCATCATTGTCTCAGCGTCTTCATCGGCGTCTGTGTAAACCATTTGAGAGGCTCTACGTAGACAAGCAACTGCGAGAAAGATCGATGGAAAGAGCGATGGAAAGAGACGACGAAGAGAGGGGTGTTAGTTACTCATATGACCAGCTTCTGAACTCATAGAACAAGCAATCCAATGGTTTGGATCACTTCAGCTTGAGTTTCCGATGCCTTTCTAGCTGACTTGAAGATTGTTGTGCTTTGAATGTGAAAATAACTTACCATTTCTTGAAATAAGGTATTGCTTATTTTCCGGTAAGAAATCACGACGTTTGGATGGATCACCAGATTCCCAAGACCAAGTTGGAAACTTATAACAAAGGAAGTCTCCTGCTGCAACAAACTCCTCTGGAATTCGTTCAAATGCAATGAGTTGAGAAAAGGGTTAGATATGTAGTTCTGATTTTAGATATTAGATTGAATGAGAAAGAGACGAAGGGAAGATGATACCTGGAGTGATTCGACCGTGTTCTTTGAATTTAGATTCCCTTAAGACAGGTGCAAGGTAATCTCTTACAGCCCAAAAGTGAGTTTGAGTGAATTGTTGAAGCGATTGCATTATGATACGTTTGATTTGATGATAGTTTGTTCGTTAATTAATCGTGGTTCGACGATGGAGGTGCCGAATGTCTGATAGTGTTCGGTTGTTCGATGAGATCTTGTTCTTTAAAGTGGTGAAGAGGGTTATGAAAGACCGAATCTTCGAATTCCATGTCTTAGTCGGGATCAGCGGACTTCCCCGGGCTTGACAGAACCCCTGAGAGAGCCGTGAGACCCGGGGTGCGGGATGTGGGTCAAACGTTGTTTCTCCCGACACTACGGTGGCTCTAAAGTGACACTTGAGTCACATCGTCAAAAACCATAAAAATGATGTTTGCGACCACAAAAAACCCAACAAAAATCTCCACCAAATCCCCAAATGGGATGTGCTTGCACATGGGTGTGAAAAATTCAAAGTTACAAACTTCTATATACACAGGTTAAATTCCTCAAAAAGAAAAAAAAAGTCAATATTTCTCAACATCAAGCGACAACAGAGGAATCAGTTTGGCTCGTTGAGAGGCAGGTGGGACAAAACCAGAGTGTGCTACGCATGATGGCCCTGAGGCCTAGATTGCAGAAATGATTTTGGCCCCGGGGAGACTTGATGAGGAAGAGCACATGAGGACGGCCAACTTGGCGCTGAACTACTCCACTGGAGTGTTCCCCGCTTGACCAAAAAATAGAAAATATACAATACAGTGCTGAACTGCTTTGGATATAACCTGTTTGAGCAAATACAAACGAGGTCTTTTTCGGATCTGAAGTAAGGTGGCATAGGGTATATATATTGATCAATGAGGAGTGGTTCATCTTTTGTGTGAGGTGACTCAGCTTTTGTTTTTCAACCTCGACAGAAGACTCATACACTTGTTGATATGTAGATCTTCCCTCAGGCTGATGACGAGGGGCCATTGGCTGCCATTGGGTGTTACTATAAGTATCTATACTGGTATAATCAATGCAAACATACTCTATAAAAGTGAAATGAAATTGAAGTCGACTTAGTCAAACTTCTCTTTCTATTTACATGTTTGGTGTTACTATATATATCGTGATTCAAAATAAAGAAAAAATAAATTAATTCCAACCCGACTTTTTCTTTTCTGTTCGACTTAAGATCGCCTAGCTCCAACGGTTGATGAAGATATTTCTTCCATTAGTTCTGTTGGACCAAAAGTGTCTGACCTTTTTATAAGACGAAAATGTGGAATTCTTTTGGATTTGTGTCTTGGAATGGTTGAGGTAAGTTGAACTTTATCAGGTGTGCGTTGATTAGGAGTACTGGCACTTCGGTTCTGAGTTTGACCAGAGTTGGAGTTTTGTGTAAATGCCATACATCCTCCGAATGGTCCATTCCTAGCGGTCTAAGAATCAATCATTCAAGTTAGCAACCGGATAACTTCCAGGGTGTTTCTATTTCAGATGAAATGTGTTGAGGACTAGGGAATGAACGGAACCACAACTAACGTTCAAACATCGAACAACACATGTTTTTCCATCGGTACCTCCAGTACATTGCATTCCTGGAGGGATTTGGGTGACAATAGGAAAATTGGTGGCCTGTGCGTTAGACTGTCCATTTCTCCCGGGGACGTTGACAATCATTTCAGCACGTGTGAATGATGTACCGGAGGCAGTTGGATCCACTGCACATAAGTATCCACCTCCACCTGTTTGAGTCGGGGCAGGATGTAATCAATAAAAATGAAACCATCGGAACAGTGGATAGTGCGTAAGATTTAAAAGGGTGAAATATTACTTGCCATCTGCGTTAACCTGATGACCGACCATTCGAATGAGTCCGCTTCGCCCAACATCGGGCAAACCTTTCCTCTCGGCTGAAGGTCGGAGTCCGGTTATAACGAGAGGTTCACGGTAAGCGGTGAGGAAGAAGTACATGGGATTGGTAATGCGGCTGACCTTTTTGAAGCTCGGATGGTAAGTCAAGAGTTCCGCCAGCTACGGTCCGACCACATGGTGGACCTGTCCCAGCACTCAATTCTGCTTGGCTGAATACGGCAGAATCTAATTGAAAAGGGACTGGCCTAGGGAGAATAGATGGAACGCAGGAAAAGATTCGCTTCAGTATCTGGCTTGGTAATCACTCGAAATACGCGAGTTTGGATTGGTAAGGGCAGACTGACTGTGATCCGGTTCTCGGCGTTGTAGGTACAACACCCATTCCAACACCGACGTTTCCATTTGTTTCGCCGTCCATGCGAATGAGCACCAAATGACCAGTGACAAGATGGCTGATGCAAATCAAAGGGAGTAAACACTTGAGCGCCATTGATGTCGCGTCTGAAATCGAGGAGGTTCTCATCGTGATTGAGCCCGAAGTATCTAAAGTGTGAATTATTTTTTTGGGGTGCGCGAGGCGTGTGTATATATAGCGATTTTTTTGTATATACTGTAATCAAAAAACCTCTGAGAAGCCAAAAGGTATGAGCTCTGCTCAATGATCGACGTAAATACGAGGTAAAAGTGTTCGGAAGGTCACGCCAGATTGCCGTGCTACTATGGTCGGCCGTTGGAAGATGTTGGCCAGTTTTGTTTTCTAATAAATACGTGGAAGAGCCTGGTTTTACTAGTCGCTTGTTCGATTCGAAAAGAAGGTTGGACGATGCTCTCGAGTAGGTGTACAGTGTGACTCAAAAGCAAGTTATTAGGATACTTGATGGTTGTGTTCCAAGGTATGAACTGGATGCGACATGTGGAAGCCAAAGCACCTTATAACAAGCGAAGTCTATATACCTGGGGTACGACTGAATTCGCGTTGCTTGCAATAATACACGATATGACCTCATAGAGGAGTAAAATTAATGAGACTAGACCAGTCGATGGCACTTTGTGTCAGTCTGGAATGCATGTCGTTTTCCGCATCGCTGCCTATTTCACAAGGACGGAGTAAGTCGATGAACTCGTACACATCATTCTAGGCTGGCTCAGGTGCGAAAACAAAGTTTCAGCATGTTGATAAACTTCCAAGTTGGAAATGAAGATCTTTCAGTCATGCAAACATTGAACATACCTTTGCAAACTGATTATGGACTGCATTCACCTGCCGGGACACAGACAAGAGAAGAGAATGAGTTCGGTTGAAAAAGTCAAAAACTCTTCGAATACCTTGAAATATTAGCCTGGCTTTGGAGTATCCGGTCGGTCTGAGAACATCGATTGATTTCATTTCATCCGCAACAAACAGATATGCTCATCGCCCCTCATCATTCGTCTTCGGAATTGTCGCATCAAATCGAATAAATCGAATAAATCGAAGGTCTGTAAACCAGAGTAGTTGTGTACAACGTCCGGTGCTGAACGAGGCCGCAAGGCCAGGACACACTCATATCCGATCACACAAATCGGAAAAGAATCCGCCAAAGACTCTCCGGTGTTACCGTATGAAGTCTCACGTCACTATCAAACATCTGGTGGAGCTATAGATCCAATGATCCCTGGCGAGGCTGGGCCGCACAGCCACTGCCCTAAGGGTAAATATGTTACCACAGGCGACTGATGGTCGGTCGATTGAGTCGTTGACACGAAAAATATACATGCCGTACTTCGGGCGCATAGATCTTCAAGTATGATGCTAAACATATAGCTGCACTACCGGAGCCGATGCAATGCTTGCTGATTGAGTCGGAAGCAGAAAGTGAATGCATTTTTCACGTGTTCTATCAAAGGGATAGACTTATAAAATTGGTTTGCTCAACTTCAAGTAGCAAATCACACCATGGCCTCGAGGACCGTTACATTGAAAATTTATCAAGCATTTATGGAGCGTGAATTGCCCAATGAATCATTTAAAAGACATATAAATGAGAAAAGATGTCTGTTTGGCATTGAATACTTTGCATAATGCTCAAAGGTATTGATAATTTCTGAGGAGATCGTAGATGCAGATATCTAATAGTGAAGCGCATTTAACCACTTACAGTCAAAGTGAGGTGTCCACATTTGGAGTCCGTTTGGTGAGATTCACCCTGACCAAACCGGTAAAGCCGTCTGACAGATAATCATCAGGAGCATCCAGAACAGCCCTCCAGATGAGCAGACTTAAATTTTCTCTAGAATAGACGACACCATCGACAGAGGCTTTGGTCTTCGTGGTTGACTTGTCTACACTGACAGCTCGAAAAAGCACCTGCAATATGTTTTGAGAGATATTGAATCCAAGCACACTTCATTTTCTGAATCAGTTATGAGACCATCTTTCAAAAGCGCACTCACCCAGGACAAAAATAAGACTTGAAACTAAGTGTATATAAGAAGAACTGTAGATTCGCTGTCAAAAGCACTTCTAGATCCATATTCTATAGCCAAACATCAAAAGTCGGGACTGTGAAATCAGTTATCCAACCGGTCAATATCACATTCAGAATCAGGGTGTCATGGTTTCCAAATTTAGGATCATGAAGCCAGAACTCAAGTGCTGGAGGTGAATAACTCCTTGGACATCATAGCGCGAGCGGTTGACGGCGCGAAACATACGATTGACCAGAGCGCTTTTGCTTTTGAAATTTGCGTACAAACTAGATGAAAAATTCTGTCAAGAAGATCATAAATGCCCAAGTGTCTGTATCAGACATTCCGAAAAGTCGAGTAGATGGCAAAAGTACTTTATGATCAAATCAAGACCCAAATATAATGGCTTGTAGAACAAAATCATCATATTCAACGCGACATTGTACAAATTGTAAATGTAACACCTTCAGGATCATCGAGTAAGAATACAAGTTCAATGTGAGAGTATCTCCCTTGCACATAATAACGCTTGTTTGTCAATGGAGACGCTACAAAAAAATGCGTTCCGCTGCAAAGTTATCATTTTGAGTATCTAATAAATAAACAAAAGCACTGATAAAGTCCAATGCTGAGAGTCCCAATAATTCGGCTGAGCTTATCCAAGCTGATTTTCACAGTAATATATAGTCATCTCTAATAGGTTCTGTTTCTCTAAGATCTTTCCACGAAGCATCACTCTTCTTCCTAAATTCACGTCCAATTACTTCCAAGCTTTTTCTTTCAAACGACAGCTCAATTTTCTTGCAACGAATCTTTAATTGACTTATTATCATCATGCCTCCCCCTCCCCTAAACCTTACCACTTTCAGAGTTAAAAAAGTCTTTACCAATGATATCAATGATGGTTATATTGTGAGTACCCTTTTCTTTCCTTTTCATTCAATCTTTCAGCTCCTCCGATTCTTCTTCTAATGACACTTTCACTGATTCACTCTTACTTTTTTTTCCCTTTCCAGAGCGGCGCATCAGCAAACGACCGAAGCGCTATAGAATCAATATCCAGTGGTCCCTCCTCAGGTTTCCCGTCCAACCTCGAGAGGAGTGTCACCTCACCTATTCTCGAACGTCCTCTTCGCATAAAACGTAGAATCAAAAAAGTTATCCCGGTGGTACCTATCAACAATGAATTAGTGAGTATTGTAGACCTATCCAGTTTTGAACATATATATTCTTTGACATCTTTTCCTCATATTGATATCTACCTCTTATTTTCTTTACATAGGAATCCGAATCCTCCCAGCCCATTCAAACCCCTCTTATGGAATCAGATTCTCGCGGTCTTTCCGAAACCTCCTTGATCATGAACCTTGACGGTTCTGTCAAGTCACCTCATCGCAAACCCGCCCTGATCATCAGAAGAAAAACCAAGAAAACTGCCCCGCAGGAATTTGACCAGGATGCAGTGGTGAGTGTCTATCCTTATTATCATAAACCTAATCTTTCTTTTTAGACTTATCTTTTATTAACCACTTTCCCCCATCTTAGGACGCCGAATCAAGCAACCCCAGTCAACCCCCTTGCGCAGAACCAGAGCCTGTCCTTGAAGCACTCCCAACCTCCAAACGTCGCTTGAAGCATCGCGGATTCGCATTGGCCCGTGGTCAGGACTTGGAAGAAGCTATGCGGAATTGGTCGGCAGTTGAAGCTGAGCCTGATCTCACGACTGAAAAAGTAGAAGAAGCTTACGAATCTGACAGTGTATACTCGCAAGCAAGTGAATATTCTCATTATGGTGAATCTCTTGTTGATCCCTGGTTAAATACTAAGCGTAGAAAATCATGACATCTCATACTGATATATATCTCGTACGTTTTATTTGTAACTTGAATGTAAAGCTCGCTGTAATTGTATAAAAAGTCTTGCTCGTAGAATCAGGACAATGATCCATTTTTTCAAAATCCTGAAAATCAGCTCATGATCATCTCACTGGCGATTATAGAGTTGCAACCATATCTCGTCTAGAAGTTGAGAGTAGTATATAATGAGATGATACATACATCTATGGAACCATCTCTATCTGTCAGTCTGACTACTGCTTTTGATAATGCGGAAGCAATGGCAACCCGATACCAAATTGATTCAAGTTTTACACATAAATCTGTTGATTGAAAAACCACAGCACATTTCTCAAAAATCAATCATAACAAAACATCCAAAGATTGACAACCTACAGTAAAGATCATGACTTTAGCAACAGATCATAGAATCCGGTTTAACCAATGGCTAAGACTACTATACCCTGATGAAAAGATTATCATGGCAAACAGAAGATAATGAGAGAGATAATCACAGGATTGGAAACTTGGAATATGTATATATATAGCTTATTAATATAGGTAAGCTCAAGGTGTTTACTACACCATATCATCTCAGACTCAGCAATCACATATATCATACAAAAAACAAAAACAAACATGATCTGTATATTGTAGTACAAGTAGAACAAGAATTGTGAGGTATGTAGTCAACCCCTCTTCTGTTTCCCTGATCCTTAAAGTACATAGTAGGATTTTGGTTTGAGTTATAAAGAAATGAAAATACAAACCAAACCAAATACTTACATTCTTGTTTATCTGATCAACTGAAAACCCTAGATCATCACATTTAAAAGTTGGATCATCATCGAGAAAAGATTAAAAAGTTAATCTTAGAGAAGAAGCCAAGTATTGTGGGTACAAGTAAGATAAGATAAGAGCAATAACTGAAATAATCCAACTTTCAACTAACTATGTACAATCAATAAGAAATTCACCAAGAAAAGATAAGTAGTCAGTACATCAAAGAGTCGGGACACATGAGCTCATATTTCAATCTATTGATCTATTTCTAGTAAACATTGTTTCAAGACTGCACTTGAGGTTTTTCCTCCGGTAGGAGAAACATTTCACAAAAAGCGGTTTGGAGCCACCCCAATTTTCTCGTTCGTTGTGATCCCAAATAGGGTCTTGACTCTTATGGCTTTTGGCAAAGTAGCATTGGCCGTCTGGATTCTCGTAAGGATACACACTGAGGAGTGTGAGAGCATTAGGTAGGGAAAAAGAGACAGATCAGTTTCTAGACTTTGGAACTCAACGCGGATATACCACCATATAGGGCGTGGACGCGGCCGGGCAGAGAAGGGTTTGTTAAGCTAAACGATATTAGAAGGGTGAAGAAGACACCCCTTCCCAACTTTGCTCAAGATGGAGATCAGTTAAGCTTACTCAGACATCATGAATCCCTAAGTTATTGTTCGGCCGCAAAGAACTCAGCTAAGCAAGCTACCAAAATGTGATCCAAAATGTCATCAAGTTCATGATAAGCGCAACACCTAGAACGAAAATCACTCCAAATGGCAGATGTCTTGGTATACATAGACATGCAAACAAGATGACTATATAATACTTGCAATTATTTTTTTGCCCACCTTCAAGTTTTCAGGACCATACACTCTTTTTTCTTACTGATACCATGAGCCTACAACAAAAACTAACAAATGTAAAAAAAAGAAAAAAAAAAGAAAAAAAAAACAAAAAAAAAAGAGTAACAAACAACAAAATTATACATTGATATAATGATGAGAAATCGGAAAAGTAATGATAAAATATAACTCTTGAATAAGATGCCTTCATTTGATTTGATGAGGATTCATAATTAATTCCCATTAGCCTTTTCTCTTATCGATCTCAACTTCTTCAAACCTTTCAACATCAATACCTTTTCCTCTGTACCCATTCCTTCACCTGTACCACCCATCCCACTAGTATCTAGTTCATCAAACAAACACTCTAACTCAGCTTGACCAGATTGATCTTCAATCTCTAACAAATCAACCGGACTACGAATTCCAATCCAAATGAAATGTGGTCCATATGCCGCCATAGTAGGTGCCAAGCTCGTCAAGAAATCAACAATCTGTACTTGAGCCTTGATTGATAATCGGATATTGAGAAGCGACTGTGCATCATGATTGGCTGGACGTTTGACGTTCCTTGCCATTGGAGTGATTGTATTCAGGAGTGTAGCCTTTTGTTTCTCATATCCACTCATGGTAGCCTCTGTAGCATAATTGGTCGGTTCTCCGTTTTGAGTAGGGGGAATGTAATAGTATGGGAGTTGACCTAACATCTTGGCGGGTGGAACTATGCCTGCGGCTGGCACAGGTTCCTCGCTTCGGTTCGAGGGTGGGCTGGGGCTTGCGTGGTCACTCGACCCGGGAGCGGTTGGTGCGGGTGTATCAGAGGATCGAAGTGGCTTTCCGGTATAAGGGTCAAACAAGAACGGTTTCGGAGCTGACATGGTATTGGCTACCGCTGCTGCCGGTGGAGTGGCTCCCGCGGCAATTGAGCTCGGGCCAGCGGAGTCATAAGCAGCAAAGCCCTCAGTAGGATTGGCTGGAACGTGGGCCGATTTTACCCTCTTTCGCTTCGGCGCTCCAGAGCCATTGCTACTTGGATGCGCTCGACTCGGGTTGTGGAACGGTACATGAGGACCATACGGGTGCTGTGAAATGATGATTCATGTCATAAATTCATTAGCGGAAAATGGTTGGAGAATGCCCCGAAAAGAAAGAGTGGAAAATGAACATGTGACATACATTATGCCGATCGTTCACTTGTACCACTTCGAACCCCTCAACACCATTCTTCGCCTTCATGACCTTGTAGACTGCCTCGCATCCGTTCTCGGCCATCTTCTGACCAGCCGTACCAGGTTCTTTGAATCTACTACATCGTAAAACGATCGTACCAGAACTTCCCTTTGATTGGGATTGACTGAGAGCGAAGCCTCGAGCCTCGGCACCCTGACGAGCATATGTGCGAAAATCGTCCCATGATTTGAAGATTTCGCCAACTGTATCCCAATCGACAGACAAATAATCAACAAACGTCAATAGGAGGCGAGATTATTATTGGACGGAAAGAAAATAGGTAGAGTGATAAGAAACGATTGACTCACCCCGAGGTAGATGCGGGTGGATTGATTCGTCAGGCGGAGGGTCTGGGTAAAGACCTTGTTCAGTGGCTGAAGCAAGTTTTTGAGCTTGACGAGGATACGAAGCTGATTGCATGATGAGGTGTTGATCGTGAGAGGAAGAAGGATATCGAGAGTGATTGGAATGGGTCTCGATCAAATTAGAAGCAGAGGAAGAAGAAACGGGTGGTGATGAAGAGATAGAAGGCAGGATGTCGAGCTGGGTGTGAGAATCAGATGTAGAATTTAATCTACTATGAGCCGTGGTTAGATTCGAATGAGGTTTGCGATTAGGGTTCTGATACTCGGCTGAGTCTGACTCTAACGAGGGGTTAGTGTCGATATTATTCAAAGAACTTTTGGCATCAAAAGAACCAGCAGGAGTACCGGCGGGGCGGGGATGATTGAGAAGAGTTTTAGAATGAGGATTTTTGACGGTAGGCGAAGATTGAAAGCTGTTAGCAGTAGGATTTTGATGGACGATAGGTGAATGATTATGGGTAAGTTGCGATTGAGTAATCTCAAATTTGCCACCTTCTACGAGCGTCCCGTCCGGGTTCACTTGCCATTTTGCAGTCACCGCAACCGGACAAGGTGCTTGAACGACTTCCCCAGGCGCTGGAGTAGCAGGTTCTGAGACGCCGTTGTTCTTCTTAGGTCGCTTATAGTTTCGACCCACAGTACAAGCAAAACATATGTCTTGACGGATCTTTTTAGGATACGATCCTCTGGAGGCTAGATGAAAGCCAAAGGAGGCTGCCGTTCGCTTGCAATGCTCGATGAAATGCTCACGACTATCGAAAGTGGTACCAGCTATTGAACAAGAACCATATGTCAGACAACGGTTTAAAGGAGAATAGAAACGAAAGAGCAACAAGATGGACGGGAAAAGATAAGATGAAGCAAAATGAGATGGACTGACTTTGACCAAGTTGAGGGCTCATGAAGACGCTTGGGGTTGAAACGGAACCATCCGACGCAACTTCAGCGAGGAGAGGAGACATGGTCAAGAGTTGAGATATGTTGAGTAGTTGTAGTGATCTGGACGGTAATGAAGATTGAAAAAGTAGAAAGGGTTCAAGTGTTGAACGATTTGCGATGAATTGAAAGGTAGGATATGAGGAACGAAACAATCGATGAAAGTAGGATGATAGTACCTAATGAAGATCAAATTCAAAGTAGATAGGATAGAACGAGATAAAGAGGAGGTGATGACCTAAATCAGATGATGATGATGATGCTGAGGCTGAGGATATGGAAGAGAAAGAGAAAGAAGGAAAGAAAAGCGAGGGGAAGAAAGATGAGGATGGATGGGAACAGGAAAGTTAGAAAAGTCAGGTGGTTGATTAACCGATGATTGAGGTGTTTAAAAGTAGTTTAGCAGCCCATCATAACAACCCCATCGACCACACACACAGAGTCACTGCTGCATCGACCACGGTCCACCGATCAACTTCAACCAGGCGAGGGTAGCTTAAACACAGGGAGTAGAAAACTACACACCAAAAGGACAAATCAACTCAAGTCAAAGTCAGACTCAAATCAAAAAGAGAAATGAACCAAGAGGGTAAAGGGGTTTAGGATGATTGAGCGAGGAACTTGATGAAGGGCAGCATCAAGTGAAGATAACCCTCTCTATAAGCTCAAGTTGAATGCAGTGACTCTGAGCTTGAGACAGCTTCAACTGCACCTCAATCAGAAACTATCTCAACCAAGCCAAAAGACCACACATGACTCAATACATCAACAATTCATCGGATTGCACCTTCCTACTTACTTAAAACACAGCCCAACACATCAACTCTGGACCTTTTCATCAGATCTATGATGTATGTATCAGAGTCTACATACAATTTACCAGCAGCGATAGTGTTACGTACCTCACTTCATCAATCTACTTTGATCAACCCCAAAAATAAATCTAAAGAGGTTGTAAAAGAATCGATAGGATTGATCAATAAGACGATGTGATTGAACTTTTGTGATTATCCCAGTGAGAAGTGAATCCAGACAAACGCTGCAGAAATGATAACATTGGAAAACTTGATAAACTTTCCAAGATGACCAAGATAAGACGAATGGGAACAAGTTTGATACTAAAACCTCATTCTCAATCAACCTTTAAGACTTCATAAATCCACACAAACCTTTCGAAAAGCAACGTGGCAAGTTTGATGACTTTGAGTAACCGTCAATAGACTTCCAAATTCAGATATCTACCCATTTCCCATCTTGCAGTACTGGGAAAACAGTGGGGAAAAACTGGTGGAGGCACAATGGTTTTTATAGTGCATCGTTCAAGTGAAACCAACCGCACAGGCTTGACGCCTTAAACTTAACAAAGTCCCACGCTCGCGCCTACTCGCGAGGCGTCGAGCGAGGGACTTATGCCAAACTCGCACAAACTCATGGGTCACCGTAAGTTTTTTTGCAGGAGCTTTCTTGCAAGCCGTCTACACAGCTCCCTACCGAAGATTACTACTTGGTCTAAAGAGAAACTTTGTGCGCACTCCTTCTGCGCACATAGTACATATTTTTTTTCCCGAGGAAAGTACTCCCCTCATCCTCTAGATTGGTTTTGAAATCTGCGTATGAAGATGTATATGTAGGTGAACTGCGGAGTCAAAACTTGGCCCAAAACCTGTCTGGTCCAAAACTGGTGTTGGCCAGCAGAAAACTTTTTGCAAAGTCTGTGATCTTATACGTTGCCATTCCACCACCAAATTATTGCCTACACACCAATACCTCTCAATCATCAATCATGCCTCTGACTCGCAGCAAGTCAGCTTCTGCCTTGAAATCTACAGACAACACACAGAGCAATCATACTGCTCAACAAATCACCATATATCCTCAGCACCTCGATTATATTGCTACTGCAAGTGCTTCCGTCAGGAGATCACTTATAGAACAACACTTTCGAATCTACTATCAAATGGAGCCTCGACCTCAGCAAGTTGATTGTGTTCTTCACCTTCTCGAGGGATGGAACACCTTCTTATTGGCCAGCACAGGCTTTGGGAAGAGTAAAGTACCCGAGATGTATCTGGCAACCTTTGTGAATACGGATAAGCCAATGGTGATGGTTTTGAATCCCCTAGATGCACTTGGTGACAATCAGGTAAGTAATTACTTGTCTCGTTTTCAATGTTTTTCTGACAATCATATCTGTTTTTAATTATGTAGGTTTCTGAAAAGAAAAAGGACGGATTTACCGCTGTCAGTCTCACACAAAGATCCTTTACAAAGGCTGTCTATCGTGAAATTCTGCGAGGAGATTATCAGTTCATATACCTGGTCAGTTTCTCTTTTTTGGTCTTTGTCACTGTCATTCTGACATGCCTCTCAGAGTCCGGAAATCTTCCTCAATAGTCCACTATTTTCCAAACTATACTTCAAACCAATTTTTCAAAGACGATTGGTTCTCAAGGTTGTCGACGAAGCTCACTTGATTTATTGTTGGGGTTTGGTAGCCTCTGGTGGATCTCGAAACTTTAAGACCATACAAGATATGGGCATATTCCGTCCTAGTTATGGTAATCTATTTGGCCGATTTCTGGCAACTGATCATGCCCCTATTTTATTGATGTCAGCTACTTGCCGTCCAAAGGCCATTGATGGCATCAAAAGTAACCTTCATCTTGCAAAACACAATTTAAAAATTTGTCGCGCAGAACTGGTTCGTCCGGAGATCCGGATCATTCGAGTCACTATGAAACATCCCCTCAAGACGGCTAAGGACCTTCAACAGTTTTTTGGTCCTGCTCAACTTATCCCGGATGACTATCTACCACCGACTCTTATCTACTCAGGAACACAAAATGGAACTTTAGAAACACTTCGTGCCATAAATTTAGCACGAGGCCAACCTGAAAACTCATTCAACGGTATGAGTACCTGTGCATGACGGTATCACGCTGCTACAGGACCGGATGATAAGGCTACTCGATGTGATCACTTTGTTAGACTCTTATTTTCAATCATCTGCTGTACTATGGCTTTGGGGCTTGGGCAGAATTGGAAAATTGTACGTAGGGTTATTGTGATGGGTCGAATGGATCCAGCGGCCGTAGCACAGATGATCGGACGCTGTGGGCGGGATGGACGACCAGGCGTTGGGGTTCTTTTAGTCGAGGAAAAGAGGACTGGCGTAGGCAGCAAGAATCACATCAAAGAGTTTGAAAAGCCCAAATCAATGTCTGATGATGAACGCATGGACGCACTTGCAGTCACTCCTGTTTGTCTTAGAGTTGCAATGGCAGTGGATAATTCATGAGTAGTATAGCCTGTCTATCACCATGGTTTCTATCTTTTCCAAACTGATTTTAAATCCAGTAAAGGTCACATTCCATTAAGTTTTGGAGACCCCGATTACATTTCTGAGCTAGCTCGACAAGAAGAGGAATGTTTTCCATTGTGTCTTTGCTCAAACTGCGAGCCAGAATTGGCCAAAACGTTTTTGGCTGCACAACATCAAGCAACGAATGAAAACTTTAGTGACATAGCTCTTGGCACCTACTCTCGTAATCTACTTCACAACCTATCTTGTCCCCCTGCACCCTCATCGGACGAAGCAGACCTCAAAAAAATCCTGACCTGCCCCCTAAAAGATAAGGCCCGTGAGATGGTAATCATAAAAATTCTTGTCAAAAATCTAGTGTCTGAATTTAATTTATTATATGATCAACAGAATCCTAATAAAGATCAAGTTATTAAACGACAAACTATGTTCAATATCGAAAAACATGCATGGCCAATTGCTAAAAATGCGGATATCATCTCACAAGGGGTTTCACTGCGCGGATTTCTTGGTAGTGAAGCATTAGATGGGATGTTTGATTGTATATTACGGTGCATATTCAATTGGCAACAGTCTGATGAATACAAGATCCATCAGGCCGATATTGTTAAGCTTGCGAAACTTCGAGTCACTTCTGCAACCAAAAAGGTAGAGAATAAACAACTGAAGCGGACTGCTCAAGTGGCTGGTTTGGGTGGGCAGGTGCAAATCAACACCTCAACCAATCAAAACACAGATTTACAAAACACCACCACTGACGCACTACGACCACTCAAGCGGACTCTTCCTCCAACTCCACTAACACCTGACAATTTCGGACCAAATCTCTACAATCCAAACACCGGCCCGGCCTCCATCAATCAGATTACACCCGATAGTTTCCAACCACTAAATACACACCCACTTGATGAAAGTACAATTGCTTCACAGTTGCCCCAGTACGAACCAATTACACCCGACAGTTTCCAACTACCAAACACAGGCCCACTCCATAGAGGTCCAATTGCTGCAGAGTCCTTTGGGTCGTCCCAATACAATCCAACCCTTGATGATCAAAACACTTCACTCTCTAACCCTCTAATTGTGTATCAGTTTCATCGTTCAAGTTCTCCACTTTCATTCCTTGCAAACCAGTCTTTAGATCAGCAATTACTTATGAACTCATATTATGAAGAAAGTACATCACTTGAAGAACCGATTGCAAATTCTTTTCATGATCATGCTTCTATCAATCATCCCATTCAAGCTCAAATTGATTCGACTTTGGATTCAATTCATCCAAATCAAGACTCTACTGTAAACTCATTGCAATATTCCTTTGAAGATGTCGACTCAATATCCAATTGGTCAAACACTAGACTGAATGTATTTCAAACGGATCAACAAAATCAACATTCTTTTTCCAACCCAATACAACACTCTCCAAGTCTTAACCGCTCATCATCTCATCAACGCACTACATCATACCTCAATGTCTCAAATGAGTCTCAGATCGATTTTCCACAAGCAAACCCTGACGCGATTGTACAGACAAACCTAACTGGTTTTCCAAACCAGACTTCGGTCATACAAACCCATGGTCAATTGGAACCTGACTTAGAGCTCCATTGGAAGCGCTTTGGGTGATATAGATGTGAGTACATATATCGGCTTTCTGAAGTTGATATGCTCACTAACCTGACTCTGATTCAACATTCTCAGTCGCACCCTCTCCATCTAGGTTGACATTTGGAATGTCTTCTGATAGTGTACTCCCCCAGCGAAAACGAGATCGAGCGCTATGAAGATACTCAGTTTTGAAGACTTCTTGTAATTTTTCAAACCCGGCATTCATCAAGTCCACATTTTGTTTCGGTTCTTCAGAGGTGTTGATTGAGGTAAAGGTTTGATCTGCTTGGCGAGCAAAAGCTTGCATAGATTTTGGGGTTATGTAAACCTTACGGCTTTGATAAGAATTTTGAAACCCCGATCTTATCTTTATTTGTGCCATTATAAGCTGGAGCTGTTTGAAAAAATAAACGTTGTTCAGCTACCTGTTGCACAACTTGAATATCATGAGTCTTACCAGCTTAATTATCAGTGAATATCGTTCTGCAAGTCTTTTGATTTTCGTGCCTGAGCCCTAGATATGAGATAAACGATTGATACAATGGTTTAGTCAGTGTATAAGAGTTAACTTATCAACTTTTTCAATTCAAAGGTATGCATACCGCATGATTGAAGAAGAATTTCAACCACCAAATCTGGTGTTCAAGATGCAAATCTTTGGTTTCAAACCTCCCAGCAGCCCCTCGTGCTGATATCAACATAGAATGCTTGATTACATGAGCTAAACCAGGAGGTAGATAATGCTCCAAGAGCAATATAAGACGAGGGAGATGCTGGGAATAATGTGATAGCCCTGTTGATCCATGGGACATCACGGACCATCTTTTCCACATACGTATCAGTCTACCAATGTCACCTGCCTTGGTGGCCTGATCAGCCTCTACATAGGTGGCTAGATCTCGAAGTCGCAATCGAAGATTGTAACCTCGATTATCTTTGTTTTTTTCAGCCGCCTCCAGGCTGTCAGTTGAAAAATACTCTTCTGCAGTCTGATTAATTATTGATTGCGCTATGTCTTTCTCTAAAAGGTTAATATCATGTTCACCTTTGCGTTTGTTGATCACTTGTCTAAAAATTTTTAATTCGTAAGCATAAGCTCTGATATTCATATGTATATATTAATAAAAAAACAAACCGCAAGCACCAAACCATGGTAGCAAAATGAATCTGGTAGATCATTCGCATGATGACTCCAAAATCTTTCTTGATCACCGGACGTTCTGCTTTTCCAGTAGATGCCAAGCTTTTGAAAACGGCATGTCTTTTTCATCTCCTACCTGACCCCAACCACCTAAGATCTGCCATTGGCCAATGTTCCACATGGTGTGTGCGCCTCCGGGAAGGGTGAGGTAGTTGATCATGCTTTCATATCGATGTCCAGCTGGCTGAAGTTTTCCTCGACAACTTTCTAAGTTGATGCATGTTCCCACATCGCCTTCAACTATTTGTAGATCGTTTGGGTTGTCCTTCAGAGGCCTCCCAGTGAGTGTTGCGATATGTTCAAGTACTTGACCCAGACCTTGAGCTGAACCGCAGGAAAGATCCATCAGAGGTAACATGGCCAAGTCAGCCTTTTTTGCCAGTATGGGTTCCACAGGCGGCGGTGTGCGAGTTACTTCCGGCAACTTTTCAGGGGTAACTGTACGGTTGTTGGTCACTACATAGTCGAGATACGCCTGACCTAGCTGAGCCTTGATGGTCTCTGTCCAGTGGGCACGTTCAGGAATTGATGGCATGAGTTGTTTTACATCAACATCCATAGTTTCAGCTCTACGCATTGCTTCAATGAAAGAATCCAAAGTGAGATCTATTGGTGGAACTTTCTCATTTGATGTCAATGATTCCGGCAAGAAATGTAGATAACCGTAGGTGCCATGGAACATTCGTGATTCAGCTTCTACTCTTGAATAATGTATACGCTCTTGAACGTCAAAGTTATCGAGGATTAAGAACGGTCGGATGGGATAATCAAAAGAGACTCTTCTTTTTAGCATGGACAGTCCTAATTTTCCTAAGCGAGCCATTGCACGGAGAGCAGAACGACGGGAGGTGGAAAGTCCTATTGCTTGAAGATATTGATTAATACGCTCACTGACCCCACCTGCCAGAAAGGCTATAGAATTTTCGAGCTGAAGGCCATTCACTGAACGGTTATTTGCAAACGCAATCATCGAACAGATGGTAGAGGCCACCTGATGGAAAAACAGAGTTAAATAAAGGTGAGATCACTGATTCACCTTATCAATTCAGCAACAAAACAACGCAAAACAACGCACATGATCAAAGCGTGATTTTGCTTGGTCACAGGTAGTCCCTCTCTTCACATAGGCCACTCCTTCAACATCATTCATCATGTCCAAGTCTGAGTTTGTTTCGAACTCATCATCTGATTCGGGCTCATCACTTTTTTCTACCATTGCATCACTTTCACCGTCTTCACCTTCTTCACCTCCGCTGTCTTCCTCTTTTGCCGAACTGGAAGTGGAGCTTGAAGAGTTGTCCGCTGGCACATCATCAGTTGTACCTAAGCAAGGGTGAGAATCTGCTTTGTCCTTAACTCCTTCTTCTTTTTGATTGTTTGTTGAATCTGTGTTGTCAGTGTCGGGATTGTCCGTAGAGTTGGCCGCACTTTCCATGTTCTCTTTGGGAATTACAGAGACAAAGGGATCTGGCTCAGTTCCAGGGCGACCTGTTGATAATCGATGTCGAATGAGCTCCCATAGGAAGCTCATTCCGGATTTGATTTGATTCAATCTCATCTGAGATTCCCCACCCCCAAAAAACAACGGGGTCACAGACTTAGCTGGCACATGTTCAGGATAATGAGTAGCTTGCCATCGACGAGAGGCCTGAAGGTCCACAATACGCTTAGCCTATACAAGTAATTGTGACATGATCAGTACCTTTAAAATAAAGATGTCTTGAAGTCACATACATACCTCCGAAAGAATGAACTCGTTCCATTGCAGTTTTCCCTTTCTAGTACGGTATGCAAGCTTACGAATAGCTAATAAGACAATCAATGTCCCCTTCCATCCCTTGTCCCCTCCCCAATATCTACGAGACGTATTCAAAATACCATGTCTGTCTACTGCTAATAGATAAGTCTGGATAACGTCTTTGAAGGAAACTTTGGAATGAAGACTCTGAACTTCATTTACCAAACGGACCACGAGAGCGATCTTTGAAGGTGGGAAGTAGCAGTTTTCTAGATCCACTTGCACGGAAGACATTATTGATGTTTAAATTATGCAAAGAACGGCAATGAAGTGGCAAACCTGGTTATGTATGCTATGATGAATGGGTGATGAGTGCTTGATATACTGAGATGTGTCTTAGACTCTCGGCTTTGCATTGGTAAATTTCCAACAAGGCTAACGGGGATCCACGGCCTACGGAAATCCAATTAGGAAATTGGATGCCCCCAATCCCAGTATAACCATCTCGAGTCTTCATGTAGTCTGATGAAGAAAATACAATACCTGTTTTTCTACATATGCACAACATCAAGCAGCAGCAGAGAATAGGTTACAAGCAAAATTTAATCAGATCTGAATCTTTACAACAGTTAAGGACAAAGTCGGAAAAAGAATTCAAATCCATAATCAAGAAAACTAATTTAGCTTATGTCAAGCTACTTGTTATAAAAAAAGTACTGTAAACATCAATAGATTTAATACTTTTGATAGATAATGATCAAGTGAATCCTGTGGGCTTTTTTTCTACAGAAGATATATACATAATTGAAGTGGATTCCGACTTAGACCACACATTTAATGTGAGTGGTTGAACATGAACATAGAAAGATAGGATTGATCAAAGGGGTCAATGTCCAATTGTTCAAACTTAGACCACACAATGATAGTGTGAGTGGTTGAGCGTGAAGAAGTTTTGATCAAAGGGGTCAATGTCATAATTTTTTAACTCAGACCGCACAGTGATGGACAGGGATTAGCCTACCCAACTTGTAAAAGCACCGCTCTTATAAAGCCTTCCAGGGTTGAAAGATTACCCGACTGAAACAGTAGTACCCACTTTGTGGCTTGGCCTTTTGGTCACTGCATGGTTTTGGTGGCTGAGGCTTTTGGCCACTGGATGTTTTTGGAACTTCCAGTTCGATTTTGCACCCCAATTTGCATTTGTAACTTGTTTGGCTCAAAATAATGGCTTTTGGGTGTCAAGTTGCAGATTTGCAATTGAAGTATGCAACTTTACAACACCATGTTTGATGCTATATGATCACGCGTAAAAAATAACAGCGTTGCTGAGCAAGCAATAGCAGTGTTCCTTAAGAATTTGTAAGGGTTGTGTATGTATATCAAAGTGCTTTGGACAAAATTATGCCGACCGAAACCACTTAACTTCGCAGCAGTACATAGCGAATTTACATATTACAACTCCCTTTGAGACGCAAATTTCAAAACCAATCTAGAGGATGAGGGGAGTACTTTCCTCGGGAAAAAAAATATGTACTATGTGCGCAGGAGGAGTGCGCACAAAGTTTCTCTTTGGACCAAGTAGTAATCTTCGGTAGGGAGCTGTGTAGACGGCTTGCAAGAAAGCTCCTGCAAAAAAACTTACGGTGACCCATGAGTTTGTGCGAGTTTGGCATAAGTCCCTCGCTCGACGCCTCGCGAGTAGGCGCGAGCGTGGGACTTTGTTAAGTTTATTGACGCCTGCGGTTGGTCATACTGGGGGTTAAGTAAAGTCTTTCTGTTCTCACAAAATTCTTGATTGATTTTTCTATGTATATACAGCCGTTGTGACAAATAATGGTTTTTTTTTTTTTTTTTTTTGACTCCCAGATTTTACCCGGTTTCTGACAACTCGTTTTTGGCCACTGTCGGACTGACCAGTGGGCGGGATTGTCGATTTACTCTTCCCATCAATCTTTCGACCTGATTACCTTAATCGCCAATCCATTGTTCGACACTCACGACTTCGACACCCACTGCAGCACTCGTGATGAACTCCCCGGCCGGATGGAGGCATGGCCGGTGGAACTGCGATGATTCAATTTTTTCTTGGATCCCATTGATCTCGACGAATATAACCAAGAACTCATCTCATACCCCTCCGTTTCTTTCATTCCCGGTTTTGGTCTCCTATTCACCTTGGTACATGTCTTCCTTCGGTTTCTCCATCCTTTTCACTGGTTTTTAAGCAGATCGACTCACACCAGTCTCGTTTCATTG